TAATTGCCTACATGTTACAATGTATACATAGAATGTTTAGAAAAGTGTTAGAAAACCCTGGAACAGTGATTTTGATGACAGCAATGCTGTTTCATCATAATATAAATACTTCTGTTGAGACATGTTGATGTAACAAACAAAGCAACAATGTTGAAATGTGTAGATTCACTACCTGTTACACTCATCTCAAATACAGTCATATTATATCTTTCTGAAATTTTGAACTCTAACACTAAATTCTTACTGTTCTTATAGTAAACTTTTATCCCTTAACACTTTAAATATTGATGTAAGTAAAGGTTGAAGATGATTATGTTAATTCATCATAGTATGAAGGCATGCACTAAATGGAAATGAGTGGTCACTATCACACTTGAGCCACTTACCTCCAACAAAAGAAACTACATTACCAAGTACAGAATTACAGAACCAAGAAAAAGGTTGACAAAACAAGTAAGTTCTAAAATGAAATCTCTCCACTAATCTGTTTTTTCAGTTTTGAGTGTTACATCAGCATTTCCCGCCAGCTTGATTTTTAATTAAAAATAACTTTTAGTTAGTACGGTGTCTGCTTTGTGAGATGCAGCAGCTGGCTTTTTGTGGTGGTGGTACCCACATGATCACAATGGTGAGGGCTGCTACTTCCAGTTTGGCCTAACAATGCACTAACCTTCACATCTACACTAAGAAGTAGATTTAATCTTCTTCCATGCTATGTAGTAAAATGATTGTTAAAGTGAGAAGTTACATATCACCACTACCATGAAGGCATATCAGTCAGTAATCAGATGCATGGAACTTGGCTTCCCTGCTTTCTGTAAGTACCAGTCTCTCATAATAATTATTTAGTTTCCTTCATTGTATTTACCACCATTATTTCCCATCATTTTATGTTCTTTATGCTCAGTACAGATAATAAATCTATAATTGAGAAGTCATGTCGCCATTTACATATTTCATCTCTGAAACATTTTATAGATTTGGATAAATCATGAATTACAATGCAGAATATTTTTTATATTTATTATCTTTGCATAATCATGTGTGTGCATTGTGTGGTGATACTACAGAGGATGTGAAAAATCTGACTCAAAGTCAGCCCATGGGAACACAGTAATATTCCAAATAAAGTGAAGTGTGTTCATAATATGGTGTTAGTCACATAAAAAAATTACCAGAGGATACTCAAAAGATGACTTTCCTACACATTAACAGTAGTAGACAAGTAAAACTTTTAACCTTATTTTGAACTTGTAATAACAATTAAATTTTTATAAAGAGGCATCGGGTTTTCTGCACTCTAAAACACATTTGTAATGATTTCAGGTTTTCATGGCAGTTCAGTGCTGATGTTCATTTTGCTTTTGGATAATAGCACATTGTAGAACTGTGCTGTGCTGTGCAAATCCTTACTGTCTGTCTCCAAGGGGAAGTGGCTATCCACTGACCCTTGCTGATACTTACAGTAGATCTCCACTATTTAGCACCAGGTGCTGGTCAATAGAAAGTGGATCAGAAAGATAGACCTTAAAAGGGCTGATCTCTTTCTAGTTGGAAACCTGTGTGGATGGTGTGTGCTGGGCTGGTGGGGACAGGAATGGGAGGGAGAAAGAAAGAAAGATGATAGACAAAGGGGAAAATAGTGGGCAGCAGAATCTTACACAGCCTACAAGCTCCATGTTAGTACCCAATACATCTGCACCATAATTTTAGATTTGAGCCTGTTTCCCTTTTTAAAGCTAATTTTGTTTTATTATCTTTGGCCTCTTTTCATTTCTGTCTTTCTATTTTTTCTTCTCCTGGTCCTACTGGATCATACATTCCATATAGGCACTCTAGATATTCTGTCCCCCCAAAAAATCCTTTTTAAGGTTTTTATTTCTCTTCACTTCCTCTTGGTTATTGGAAGATGACAAAATAGTGAATGTGCCATAAGTATTGTCAAGGGCCATTAGATAGTTTTCACCTTGAAGGTGGATGCAGTAAGAATCTCTGGAATATGGGCAATACAGCATTGCTTAGAATGCTCACCAAGAAATTCTGTATTTATTTCTGCCTTTATTTGGATGATTCTGTGTTCTGTTATCAGGTTATGTATCTTTTATTTTGTTACCTTCACAACCACATATAGTCGGTCTTCATTTTCTCCTTCTGTTCTTGCCCATATACTTTCTCTTCTTATCCTCATGTCTTTGCCTCTTCTTCCATACTTTTTTTTTTCATGCTCCCATTATTATTATTATTTCTCTTTGTAATGTATGGACATGTGACCTGTTCAAAATTGTAGTAACTGCTCTTTTCATCTCACATTTTATGATCCCAGATCACCTTTTTTGATCTTTGTGTATTGGTTATATATAATCTGTTTCCTGTTAACTTTGGTAATTGGAATACTTTTGATATATAGTGATTAGTCATTAAACTTAAATGAAAAATAGTAATTTAGGTAAAACTAATGTTCTTGACCAAAACATGGTGCTCTTACTGTCATGAAAAATCAGGTTTGTTTCGCTAACCAAAGGTAAGAATTTCAATACAGCAGCAATTTCTTTGGAATGTAATCACATTTTCTTGCATTGTCAACAGTTATTGTAAAGACAAGATTAAAATGTGACGTGGCGTCATAAGAGCCGAAGGCTCACGTTGGCAGGGAAGGGCTGCTTGACTCCCCTCCCTAGCTAGCAGACGCGGACTGTAGGTTACAGACTATTCAAAACTTCAGTTCTCATCGCCTGTTACTGTGTTTCTTTCCTCACAGTCATCTGATTCTGTTAAAATCTACAATTTTTGCAAGTATTGTCATATGGAGTTGAAGAAAACTTCACAGTTTGTGAAAAATCATTATGGTATGATTTATCTATATTTAACTTTGTGACAGGTTATGTGGGGTAATCTAATTTATTGTCTTCATATATTTAGTGGACTTAAACTGTAATTTAAAATATTTTTACAGTTAACCCTTATTTGCAGAAACTCCATGTATATACTGCCTACCTTTTAGTACATGACATACTGTTTGAGTGATTATGTTGCTTATGATTTTGTAATTGATCGAGATATGTCATCATTATCGTTGCCATCATGGTCATTGCAAAGAAAAATATTCTTACCCTTTGGCTGTTGCAGTAATTAAATTCATTTGTTGTACTATTTAATAAAATTTTGCTTACCTTCTGTTCTGACATTGGTGTTATTGCACCTTTTTTTTAATTCTACAGCTGTTAAATAAATAATTTATTTGTGGTAGTGGTCAGGTATAATTATGTTTGGACATTTGCTATTGCTACAATAAAAAAAAACTGCAGTGTTTTGAAGGCTGTCTCTTGCTGTAAAAAAGAAATGGGTGCTTCTCTGAGGCCTCTGTTAAATAAAGCTGTTCCTTTTTACTAGGCAGTGAAAAGATCTGAGAATATTCAATCGAAAGGAGATCTATGAAAGATCCCACTTTTGATCTCTTCATTGGTTAGTGGCACAGAGTAACTTTATCTAATGGGCCCTACAGAGTAGTTATACTTTTCTTGTACCAAAATACAGCAATAATGCCATTCTACAAAATGTCATATGTATATGATCTTTATCCAGGGAATGGGCAGTATTTAAAGGAAATTGTCCTGTGAAGTTCCATAGTGTTACCTGAGTAATTATTGCATTATTCTGGTTGGCGAGGCTAGTTCCACTTTGCTATGGTTACTTACGAGTACTTCATGGAGTGGAATGTGTGACATGTGCTTAGAATTTCTTACAGGACAGAGGATTGGTATATGCCTGCTTTTTTTCCCAGAGCATGCATTTGTAGCATCTGGAGTTTAACGGTTATGCAGTGATATGACTGACATTTCAGGACAGGTGCAACGAGGAGTTCACAAACATAGATGGGATACGACGTATTCCAATGTCCCGTCAGCTCTCAATCCGCTTCTCCCAACAACGGAAGCTAACCCTTTCCCGTAACACTACTAACAGATGGCGCTCAGCCACTCAGAAAGTGCGAGTACGTAAGGCAATGCTCAGCTTTGCACTTTGCACTATTACAGCAAGTAGACTGGTGCTTGTTTTGGATGGTTTTATTTCCTTATTTGACAAGTTTTGTGTATGTGTGTATAAAGCATGGAGAATTTTGCAGAATTTTTTTTCTTTGCCTTCTTTAATTGTTGTAGACTCATGATTGTTGTTGCTAATGGAGCATGGGAAATGTGCAATGCCTGCATTTATCAAAGGTTTTTCTTAATATTCAGACTTTCTAGTGTGTTTCAATTCCATTCTAGTCTATACTACTTGTACTTGAATGTAAATCTGTTACTGTTGCATCTGTTTCCCAATTCAGAAGAATTATTATTTATGTCTTTATAAGTATTATGTTTTATTTTTAGTAGCATAATCAATGTGGAAATATATCATAAACATAATTTAATTTCTGCTGAGAATCTGTATTGATCATCCATGTAATGAATTGAGATCAAAACCATAGCATTATCTAAATAATGCAGGAAACATAGAGTAGTGATGTTAATTCACCATTTGTTGTGGCCCAAGATTCAGTTGTCTTGCTATATAATTTTAAATGACTTCAGTGCTTATATTTTATCTGTAGATTGACAAGAGTACAACAAGAACAATACTACTACTACTACCACCACTACCACTACCACTACTACTATCACTACTACTACTACCACTGCTACTGCTACTGCTACTGCTACTACTATTACTACTAATAATAATAATACAATTCAGCCCAGCTTTTTTTATTAGAGTGCTGCATCAACAGCCAGACGGCCAATTGCAGATACAGTACAAAAAAATAAAGTATATACAATAATCATATAATAATAATAATTCAATTAATTTATTAGAGTGCTTGGCAACAGCCAAAAGAGGCCAATAACAGCCAAGCACTAAAAATAACAATACAACAACAAACAAACAATAAACTAAATATATAAATGTACAATATAATAATGATAATATATCAATTCATTAATTTGTTACAAAATAATTAACAGTAAATGAGCTAAACAATGTGCCTAAAAGTGAAACATTAAAATACAAAAAACAAACTAACTAATTATATAAATGTACAAACAATTCAACTCATTTATTGCTAATAATCAACAAGCAAATGAGCTGAATAATATGCCTAAGTATATAATAATTAAATTAAAAACAGTTAAATATAAACAGTACATACAAAATGAAACTTTAATTACAAAAAAATAAAATTGCCTAAATAACATGCCTAAGAAAAATATTCTCCTTGTTAAAAATGTTGATGTGCTGATAGACGGCATTGGCAGCAGAAACACACCTAAACAAGGGACTAGCCTTAAAACTACGATGAACAAAAACCGTGAAGTAGTCTGTAATGCTTCTGGAGGGAACGCGCAAAGAAACTGAATCCAAAACGGATGGGCAGCAAATTTTGCCTTTAAATATATTAATGAGAAAGAGAGCATCAAGATGGCTTTTCCTCAGGTGGAGTGGAAGAAAATTTAAACTAACTAAAATGTCTTCATAATTATAGTCACTTAGGCCATTAAAAAATCTGGCGTGACATAAAGCAGCAAATTTCCTTTGAACTCTTTCTCAATTTTTAAGGATGATAAAAAGCTGTAGCACAACTAACTTCGGAGGGGAAGTAAAGCCGGCAGTCCCGTTTCGTAAGCAAAATCCAGTGGTGATTTCTCACCCAAGTTTCTCCTGATTCATTACTAGATGGCTGTGGGAGTTAGAATCAGGATTGAGTAGAAATTGTGCAGTCAGTGGGCTGGTCACTCATTACTCACAAACACACATCAAAAAGACGAAGGAAACCTCCAAAAGAAGGCTCTATGCTCTGGAAAAGAGTGATAGGAAATGAAGAAGAATATTAAAATAGCACAGTTATTTATATATGACCAAAAGACAGGAGATCACATTGCCTGGACTTCAGAAGCATTCTCACATTATCGTACATTGTCGCCATAACATTGTCATGTAGAGCCATGCTCTTCCTTCAGACAGATAGACCAAGTATCAATAAAAGATTCAGAACTGAATGGTAAAAAAGCATTTTTCAAATTTTATAGTGGAAAGAGGTAATTTAAATTGTGAATGAATTGGATAGTTAAGAAAAATTTATTATTATGTAATAAGAAAATAATATGGTTACTATTCATTTTCTTTTCTTTGTGTTTGTTAATATTGTGGACAAAAGAATTTAATTTAATTCTAAATGAATTACACTGTGGGAAGACAGATTGGGAGGCACAGGCATGAATGAAAGGATAATGTTGAAATGTATCTTAGAAAAGTGGGTTGTGATGGTTTGAAGTGGATTTAATTGCTGAGAATAGTGTCTAGTGATGGATTTTTGTGAATATGGGAATCTTTAGGCTTTATAAAAGTGGGACCAAATGTGTTGGCTGTGTTGTTAATTGCTGTATTATATTCAAGGCATGTCTGGTTCAGAGCTTGGCCTGAAGACTGGTTATCCTGACTCTGATTTTTGTGATGTTCCTCAGTCTCTCCAGGCAAATTCTGGGATTGTACCTTAAATTAGGCCAACTGTACAATGCAATAGTAAATTACTGAGTGTATATAGTTCTGTTTGTGTCCTGGAATCTCTACCTGTTAAAGTATTTCTCATTTTCTCGTCTTCAGATTTTATCACAGACAAATTACTGTGATAAGATTTTTGACATTGCTGCATTACCACTAACCCATTTAAAAAGTATCAGGGTTGTAGGATCACATGTAACAGTCTGCATGGTTTCCTTGCACACTTTCAAAATTGCACACAAACCATCCCATCTGCAGACAATCAGGAGTCTTCTGTGAATGCTTTGTATATACTAGTTACAGTGTGGTCTTCAGTACTAATATTCCTACCTGTCAACTTAGCTCTGTTTTGTGTTTGATGGTTTTTAGGTTAACAGTTTCGAAGCTGATGGATCTGACGTAAATGAACACACTCACGTATGTATACTTAACCAGTTACGGTCTTTTCTATGATCATGGAACTTGGTTTGCAAATTCTTTTTACATTCATTTGCCTTAGTTTCTGCAATCTAGTTTTCAGATACAAATTCATGGAGTGGCTATCTTTAAAATGTTCACAGTGCAGAAATATATGATTAAAAAGAATCAGGGGATTATTAAATGCATATGAAGGTCTTTCAGTGTATTTTAGTTTCATTAAATCACAAACTTTGTTTTACTGTTCACTTTGCTATCTTACAATTAAAATGTGCTTGTATTTTGGAGAAAGACATTCCAAAATTATCTTAAATTTATCACCGCATTCATCAGTTAGTTACTTGTAGAACCAGATATCATTTTCAAACAGAATACCTGTATATTGGTTCCATGACAAAAGCCCACATGAAAATTCTGCACAGATAAAACCCCACAGTCATAAATGCTTACATGGACGAATGCTCACAAAGAAAAATACGCACACAGAAAAATTCTCACATTCACAATACTATCAAGTAATACACTCTTAATAAAGTGTTACGTGCATGCTATGAAGTGAAGTTAAAAAATTCTCACATTCACAATACTATCAAGTAATACACTTTTAATAAAGCATTACGTGCATGAAGTGAAGTTCAAACATACTATACATACTAACCTAACTTAACCCAACCTACCCTTGGCCCTGGTTGGCCAGATTTGTTTTTTGTAAACTAAAAATAATGTGAGAATTATTCTATGTGCGTATTTTTCTGTGTGAGCATTTATGACGGGTTTTTTCTGTGCAGAATTTTTGTGTGGGCTTTTTTAATGTGCACATTTATCTGGTCACTCTGTATATTATATTTAAATTTGTTAAAATATTTTTACATGTATAAGTGATATTTGAAAGTAATGTTTTGCCATATATTGACTACAAAATAGAATAATTTATTACAATTTATTTCTATAAGGTGTTTTAAGAAATGATTTGTTATTTCAGTTGCCCTTATTTTGCCATTAATGTTTCTTCATTTGAGATGCCTCAACAATCAAATTTAGGGTACATGGTTTGGTCACTGTGTGGAGATAATTAGCATGTAATAAGACAACATACATATTTTTAAAAAAATGGAAGATGTATATGTAATTAAACCAAATTTCATGATTACAGAGCATATCTGGTTGTTGAACGTTTACTGTTTCTTTATCTGAAATTACTCTTGGTTATATATATATATGATAAACTCTCATGTTATCAGGGCTGACACAAATTGCAAGTAAAATTTCTGCAGCACAAACTGTAGCAGTATTTTGTTGCTTGATTGTTGTTGCAGTATGTATTTCTGTTTATCAACTTATAAGTATAAACAGTTAATCTAATATTAATTTTTGCACAAAATGTTTAGGTGTTATGCTGTAGATGTGCATTATTTACATAAATTTGTCATAAACTATAGATTCTGAAGTTCTGCATGCTTTCATCTAGCAAATCACTTTTTCCCATAATTGTCAGTACAAATTTTAACATTCTTATGGTGGTTATAATTTTGTAAATTATGAAGACAACTTTGAAAGAAAGGTGTTGCATTTCTCTTTAAAATTGGATTAACATTTATCATTGTTGTAAAGTAAGAACTACGTATTTTGTTTGTATCCTAATTAAGTTATGAACTATTGGACCAATATTCATGTCAGACATCTTTCTTTTAATGACAGAAACTGTGAGCTACTCCTTGTACTTCCTTAAAATTGACTGTTTATGTCATCCTCACACTATATAAAATGTGCAGTTGATAAACTGTTAAGTAACCTATGGATCAGTCATAAGCCTACTAGGAAAGTTGTGGAGAATTATAGCATGAAAGTAATTGAATGCTTCATACATGTTCCCCTCCTTGGATATTCTTTCACTTTGTCCTATGTTAAAAAAGTCAGAAGGTTAATGAGGCCATGGTGGGAGATACTGTTCTTAAAACTGTATCTCAATATTTGTTATGAGTATATTGTTTCTCTCAAACCACAATGTTTATTGCTGTTTCACATAATCACACTATAGGAAAATGCAGTATTAAATAGTTTAATGTAGAACGATAACTGAATCTTTCTTCCACTCATACTTTAATACATTTTTTAATGCTGAAGGTATTTTCTTTTAGCCACATTTGCAAACAGATTAAATGCTTTTGTATATCTGTCTCACTAAAAACTAATTTCATCCAGCATTAATTCATTATTTTGGAGACATGTTGTATTAGAAGTCTTTGCTGTAATATATCATAACATTTAATTTCTGTCCTAATTGGACAACTTGAATTATTATTTACAGCACAGTTTTAGATTTACATGTAAACTAAATAAGGTACAACTTAAGGTCTGACTCTGTGAGGGGCCTTTAAAGAATAAAATATGTATTTGTTTTAATTTTAAAGATCTTGATTGCCCTTTAACAAAATTACACAACTTAAAAGTACCGTTGTTAGATGAAGCTAGTTTAATAATTAACTTCTTATTGCATATTTGTCTGCTGTAATAAGAAGTTTAAAATAATAATGATTCACTTTCTGTTGCCCTTCCTATTATAATGATTTGTTCAACTCTGAAGCTTTAACATAGTCTAGAGCCCCCAGTCCATCTAAATTAATATTTCTATGACCTGGCCCCTTAGATGCAGTATAGACTTTGTCAGATTAGTTGACCTGCATTTTACAAAGCCCTACTATAATATTTCATCAAAATAGTCATGTAGTATTCTGTTATGTATGAAAGTGATGTGTGGATATACAAGGGAGGCAGTGGTTTCCCACTTTTATAAAAAATTAGAATTATTAAATCATTATAGCATGCAGGTGATTGTTTTTACATGCTGTGTAGGTAGGAAAGTGTCAGTATTCTACTTTGTACATATTGTTGATGGCACATTTTTTGTTTAGATTTTGGCTCATTACTATCATTACTTCTTAAAATTTAAGTAATGAGGTGATCTAAATGGAAGAAAATTATTATTTTTTAATTCATAGAACTTTATTGAGAGTATTTGAGTTTTATTAACAATTTTAATTGCTTATCGCTATGAATTGTTACCATACCTGTGCAAGAGAATATTTCATGCTGTGGCAGTATTTTGTTGCATTCAGATTGTGGTTGTATGCTTTCTTGTGTTCAGTCATGCTTCATGTGGACTCATCTAATTACTACACAAGTTCTGACTGCATTATGCTGAAATTCTAATTTGCAGTATGTCAGCTCTTCCTTCAGAGGACATGGGCTGCTTGCACCATTCAGAATTTCAATTAATACTTTTATTATAGAAATCTTCAGGCTTTCACATCAGTTTACAGTGTGTTCCCATTCTTTTAAGTTGATATATAATGGGCTGCTTTGCTGACATTTCATAGGACCTGGCTTTCTCCACCCTGAAGTGGTTAAAAAGTAGCCTTATACTAATATTTATTATTCCTGGCCACATGGCAGTAGAGACCTCATGTCTGAACTTTCCTATTGGTTACACATTCACCAATGAGAATGCAGAATTTCCCACTGCAGTTTAGATCATAATCTTGTTTTGCATTAGGAGACTGTGAGATGTTGCTTCCTGTGGCTGTTCACTAGTGCTGCAGTTAGCATCAAGTGTTGTGAATCAAGAATTATTTTTTGTCTGCCCTCTGCAATTTTCTCTCTTTCTAGTGTAGCCTTTCCGGAAACATGCATATCTCCTAATTGTTTAAAACGTGGCTCGTGTTTGATGTAGAAGATATGCTGGTTTAAAACGTGGCATGGAACCTAGTCATCCTGATTGGTTTTTTGTTGAAATTTGAGGTTCTCACAGTGATGAGTGTGAAGATCTCTTCTGGGATGTTGTAGTATATTGTTTGGTAAATGTTGATCATTGTTTCAGAGGATCTTATTGCCTCTGTTATTACCCTGATGGTGGAGGCAGTCAACATCTAACAGATTGCATAATGCTATGTCCCAGAAGATGGCCATTTTTGATTTTTGATTATCCTTTGAGTCTGAATCAGTGATGTTACTTTGAGAGAAACTGTTAGCAATTCCTTCTACTCCTCACACTGAATGGCCTCTGGAATTGATAAAATGTTTGTTAAATAACTTATAGATCAATCGCAGTGAGTTTTCATAAGCCAAATAGTATGGTTGTGGAGCATTGTGACATAAAAATCTTAGTGTGAGAGGTCTCAGTGTAAGGTTGAAATATAGTTTCAAAAGTTCCATTGATTTGTAGATAATATTTTAAATGTGACCATCCCATGTCCTCTTGATTGTGCTATGCTGAAAATATTTCAGCATGTGATTGTTAAAATAATACGTGATGATAAAGTAAAGTTGGTACTTTTTCACTAGTGCTAGTGTAAAGTGTGTAAATCCTAAAAGTTCAAGAAATGAAAGGCAGTTTTCATAAAGCTATGACTAATTGGGTTTATAATTGATATAAATGTGATAGCATCTCCAGTTTACACCAGGACCTAAGACTGAAAATATAGTTTTGCTAAATGGCAGGTAATATGAAACATAAGCTGTAAAGTAGTATATTAACAGTAGGTGCTTACAAACTATACTAATGATACTTGTCTTCAGAATAGTATAAATACACACATAAAGTATCATTCTTCCTCTTTTTGTTTTCTGGTACAAATTGGGAGGTCACATTGTAACTTAGTGGTTAGTGCCATGCAGTCTCACTATGGGCAGAAAGTGGTTTGGTTACAGCTGTAAGTAGTGGGACTCAGGGTGGACATGAAATCAAAACATAAAATGAATTGAACAGAAATATTACTTGACTAAACAACTCTGGACAGAAGAATCATGGACATAAAATAAACATGACCTAAAATAAATTGAATATTTGACTAAACAAAAGTGAAAGTGGATGTAATGTCTGAAGACCATCAAAGCTAATGGGTGAATTTTTATAACTTTTGATTGTGAATACACCAAAATATATGAAAGCTGCGTGTTAGTCTCTGTGTACTGCTTATCAGAACTTGTAGACCTCGGTGAAATAACGCATTCCCAGAAAGTATAAATTTGTTATACTATTATTTTGCTTTCAAAACTCAGTTTATATAGGTACCACTGTAAACTTAGAATAAAATGAAATAACAGGTAAATTAAAAGCTGATTAACCACATTTAAACTTTGCCAGTTACTTTACTGATATTGTTTCATACCGACGTCTCATTATAAATTGACAGACATTAAGTAAAATATTCTTAAAATATATATTACTGTATTTAGGCTTGTACATATGATGTATGTTTCTGTAGGTTATTAAGTGTAGAAAGTTTAAGTTTAAATTTTTTACAGCTGATAAGAAACATGAGCCCTGCCAAATATGATTCAACTGGTCGGCGGCGGAGCACAGTCAGACAGGATGCTCATGGGAGTGTGATCCTCAGTGATGGCTATGAAGATGTGATACAGTTAGATGCACTGGGAGCTGCACGTGAGTTGCATTGATGTTACAAGAGTTGGATGTGACAGAATACCTTTTTATTTTTTCCCAGGTTTTTTCTACACACATTACATTTCCATGTCAGGTTTTTGAAACATGTTACAGAAAAACTGTATCCATAAGAGATGATAACATTTTATTATAATTTGTACATATATTGAGTATTGAGTTTATATAAAGATACTACATTGTGCATTGGTACTGGTGCTTTTGGAGTGTGCTTGCAACACATTTTTACAGCTGCACATTCCAGTGTGTTTTTAAAGAAAATTAACACTAACATGCCGGCCAGAATGGAATGTGTTGGTATGAGCTCAGCAATTTTGAAACCTGAAAGAAAGATTGGACTGTATGAGGTGCTACATGTTAAAATATATGTTGGTTAAGAGGAAATAAATAAGTAAAACTTTTGAAGTGGTGACATTGAGGAAGAAAGTGGTATTTTGTAAGAAACTGAGAAGAGGAGGAAAGATAAACATCAAAAGGTAAATTTTATATTTTTGTAGGGAACGAAGAGATTCAACCTGGAATATGTGAACAGATCTTGGACTTCTTTGCTTCCTTATTCCGGATAATCAATCAATCTTCCTACATAGGAACGAACATCATCATGATGGTGAGCACATTATATTTTGGTATTACTTTCAGAAACTGAAGGCCTTTTTCATGAGGTTTCCACTTTAAAACTTTTGTTTGCTGTTTCCTTGCTGCTGTATAAGATATGTTCCTTTGAAATTAAACTGAATTGTTCATACATGGTAACTGAATGGTTGTGCAGGCATGGAGTATTACATATCACAGTTGGTTAACATTCGTGTTACTACTGTGGGCTAGCATTCTGTGGATCCTTCCTAACCAGCGCCGCTCCATGATGAGGTGCTCGCCTTTCCTCATGGTATATGCCATATTCCTGTATGGCATGGACCTCACTGATGATGAGCTACCAGACCATGTGAAGGGTGTGAATCTGCGTCAGATAGGTTTTATCAAAACCACAAAACTGCCCTGTGAACCTCTGTTTATCAAGGTAATTCATTGCTTGTGTTTCATATTTGAAATATACAGAATGTCTCAAACAGATGTATACTCATTATAATATTGAATATTAATCTAGTTATCGATCTATGTGTTGTGCATGAGGAGAGAGAACCTTCTTTGGTGTACACTTAACAGATGGCACTGCTATATCTTTTCCCATGGTTCAGGTACCCAAAATGGCAGTTAGTCATTTGAGTTTTAAGCGATGCAAATTCATTGAATTTGTGTATACATCTTTCTGGTACACTATGTATATGATAGATTTAAAACTTGTTTGTGTATCATTGACATTTTGTGGTTTCAGTCTGTAGTGTAACACAACTATGAATGGTTCCTCAGTGGAGAGACATGGTGTAATAGAAAGAAGTTTCAAAATTACAGCAACCTTCCTTGAAAATTAATGAATTATTTAGTTTTTAGTATTATAGGTCACCTTTATATTTGAAGAATATCCATTCAGTTAACTAAACTTACAAAACTGTAATAAATCTTATTAAACTCAAAATATTCAAATATTTACCCATTAACCATTATCATATAGGAACAGGGGACTTTAACCCCTGTATTATGGGGTTGCTGGAACTAACAGTTACAGTGTTATGCTGTTATGCTCAGCCAGCTAGATGTGGCACATGGTTGATAAAGGTTGCATAAACATTTTTTCTTTTCTTCACTACAAACAATTTGAAGATCCTCTTCAGCACATCCCTTCTTTACATTGGAGGAGTGAGATAACAATAGAACATCGTTTGGATGCAGTCATTTATCCCATAACACAAGTTTTTGTATTAGAGGTCCTTTGTTATTCAATGTCCAGCAGTTATGAACATGTTAACCTAAAAATGATAGTAATGCACACATTTAAATCATCCATTCTTGTTCTTTTGACCACTGGCATTACTTCTTTCAAGTGATGGCTGTATTTCATACATTTACAAATTATATGTAAATAGTATTAAAAATATATTAAAATTAGCCGTCAATCACAATATAATATAATTAAAAGATTAAAATATCATTTTACGTTCCCTATCGAGTACTCGATTTACATGTGGAACATGTAGTATCACAAGTCACTAATACAACGAATGAAGAAACAATATAAAGGACAAGAACATCATAAGAAAACTGAAAACTAAAAAACATTCAAAATCAGTAAAATATCAGTAATTCAGTGAAAAGTTTATATACATAACACCTGATGATGGCTATATATAGCAGAAACATGTCGTGTATGTTCCACATGTAAATCGAGTACTCGATAGGGAACGTAAAATGATATTTTAATCTTTTAATTATATTATATTGTGATTGACGGCTAATTTTAATATATTTTTAATACTATTTAAATAATCACAATATGACGCATCTACAATATCTTATAAATTATATGTAGTCCATCACAATCTTATTTTTTTTACATTTTCATTTTTCAGAGTTTGTATACACTTTTCTTCTGGATTACCTTGCGTCAGTTTATGCAAGAACGCTTTGAGAGACGCAACACATCTGCATTGGAAGATATGGCTGCACCTTTACAAATTACCGTTGGTCCTGCAACCAGAGGTAAAATGTTACATGTTGTTTCATGATGTACAGAATGTGGACGTGAGGACCATTGCATGAACTTGTGGCTGTATTGTAATTACATTTGTAATTTTCATTGTGGAGGTAATGAACTCCATGGTGCTCAGTCAGTCTCAAAAAGATTTCATATTAATGTGTTTACAAAAGCCCACCACTTGATACTATTCTGAACCAGTTCATCTAGCTCACATCCTCATGACATTATTTCTTTAAGCTGTATCTTAGTATTATCATACCATGTATGCCTTTGTCTCCCAAGTGTTTTCTTAGTTTGAGATTATCTATCAAACTTCTGTATGCATTTGTTATCTTTCCTATGAATGTTGTAATAATACAGATATTGATGCTCCTAATTATGTAATTTTCTTCATTCTCCACTTGATTCTATTCTGTTAGTTCCATATATTCTCTTCAACACTTCATTCGCGAACACCTTCATTGTGTGTTCTTCCCTTGGAATGAGAGAGATAATGCAGAGGAAGATAAAGCATTCTGAATTGAACAGAAAGACATTGAGATTTGAGATTCTAACAGTAGCATGAAGATGTTTGTGTTGGTCTTCTGGGTAGTGACAGCAAGTGGAGTTTTAGGCAAAATAACCAGTATTTCACAGAAAGACACTGCCTCCAGCCTTGAAGATGGTGATATTATGTTCCTCTGAAATGTTGGTTTCTACCTACAAGTAAACACTATGATTAGTCCAACATAACAGCAAAAACAGTTTGCATCTGTTAAGTATGTGGTTAAAAAAATTGTTTGTTGGATTTTTGAATTATAATATTTAGAACTGAAAATTGTAATAGAGGGTTCTAGCATAAACCTCAGAACCTGGGTAAATTATTGTTACAGGTTTTTCAGACACACAGGAAGCCAATCAGTCAAGTCAGGCCATGAACTGGCTGGGTGAATTTGTTAAGAGTGTGCTGACAAAATTCTGGATTTGGGTGGTTGCGATAATGCTGTTTGTGATAGGTCTCAGTGGAACTCGAATGACTGTATATCGCATTATCTATATGGCACTCTTCCTTATCTTTGTGCTTGTCTTTCAGGTAAGTTCATGAATATTGCCTTCATATATGTCTGTTTCCATGCAAACAAAAATTGTAATTAAACAATATCTCTTTTAAATTAAAAATAATTTTCTTTCCTTAAGTATTATTAACAAAGAATGTGTAATGGAGAAGTCATGACCATCTGTCAAACCACAACTTTCCTTCTTGAAAACTAGTAATTAAATTTTTATGAAACTTGGTTTTAAAATTTAAAGCAAAAGTTGGCTGGTGATTAAATTCTTGTTTGTGTCTATTCAGTGTAATTGCTACTTTACGTGAAATTCAGTTTTCTTCTCATATTTACACATGTTTTAATGGCTCATCATGTAAATATTGGTCCATAACATATAAGTATAGCTCTGTTAACATACTCAACATTTATTTTAAAAATTGTATGATGTATTTAATGAAATATATAAATAAGTAATTTTGGATCCTGTGCAGTGGCATATCTGTAGTTTGATTTAACTTTACAGTGGGAAATATGTACTTCATATAAATTAATATCAAAGCCAGTGTTATATGCAAGTGTCAAAGTGCTCCTTGCATAACAGTTGAATGGTTACTACTATATTTTTGTGCTATATTATCCAATTTGGTGACAGCATCATTAAATAAACCATAAATAAAAAATTGAATAAATAAATGCACAATTAAAGTAAATAACAACAAATAATAAATAAATATACAGGTACTGCTGTAATGGCAAATTGCTGTGAGATTTTTTCTTTGGTTTAGCTCTCTTATCAAGCATGGCGCAAGTTTATGTATGGGTTCTGGCTGACTGTGATAATCTACTCCATGTCCATACTGGTACTGATCTACACATATCAGTTCGATGATTTTCCCTCCTACTGGACAGACTATCTTGGCATTTCTCAAGAACTGTAAGTCACATTTTTAATTTGAATTGAATTTACATTCTTTTACCCCACTTCCTGTATTTTGCATGATCTTGCCACCACTTTCAATTTCCCTGTTTCATTTAACTGTTGATAATGCCAGCATGGCAGTCATAGAAACATCCTGAGTTGGAAGCAGCGCCTAACACCACGTAATGCAGGATATTGTAATTTTATGCGGTAATTGATCTTTGACAAATATAACATGTTGTCAGGCAAAATTTATCTTCGCATTTGTTTGTGATTGAAGCTTAAATATGTAAGTTTTGTATGAAGATAAATCATAAACATAACTAAACATGTTGTGTGAAATATTTTTCATGTGTTGAAAGCCACATATTCTTGAGGATGAAATAGGTAATTTATTGGCCTAACTTTATGACCAGAAGAATAAAAAGAAGAAAACTACAAGTATGTTAACTATGTGAAATGTTGAGGCTATATCTGAACAAGAAATGTAACATAGTTAGTCTGTTATTGTAAATTATGCAAAAGTGATTCATTGAATTTTATAATTGTTAATTTATAGTTCCATGCAACCTTACAAGATAGATAGAAACATTTGATGGGCAATATGCATCAAGGCTTTTCCAGAACTTTTTGTTATGAACCAAGATTACTGTGTTAGTAAAGAGACATATTTATTTGGAGTGCACCAGCTTTCTATGCATTGGAATTAAGGGACTCTTAACCTGGAAGAAAACATTGTCAGATAATGCATCTCCATACACAGCCATAATATTAGAGTGCATAGGATCTTACCATCATACCCTCTGTACACTTTCCAAGACATGGTTCTTAGGCATGGGTAACTTGCCTTAACTTTATTTTGTTAATACTTACATTTTTATATCAAGCTGTTTTGTCTTGATTTACTTTTCATGATGTGCTAGTTTTAAGCCTGAATTTCTCCTGTGTTCTCTCCCAGGCAAAAAGATATTGGCATGGAAATATTCCAGACCAGTGAACTGTTCGTTAAACTGCTCACTCCTACTTTTTTCCTGGTGATCACGGTGATACAGATGCACTACTTTCACAATGACTTCCTCACGCTCACAGATATCAAATGCAGGTAAGCTGCCTATCTTTGAAACTCCTCAGACTACTGAATCTTCAATTCTCTGTACATTCTGGTGAGTAGTTTACCATAACTAAATCTCCAGAGTAACAACCTGAAAGTTAATTCCAAAGACCATATTAATTATGTTTAATTATTAAAAGCCATTGTTGTACTCCATCTTCTCCATTTTCTCAAAAGTGGCCGCATTCCAAGAGGTTTCTCAGCAAAGTTTTATTTCTGTTTTGTACCTCAATCGGTTCCACATAATGACCTCATTGATTTTACCGTCTTAAGAGGTATTTGTTATGTAATATTCAAAGTTGCCTTTGTATGTAATTTGTCTTAGGTCACTAATGCTTGCAATTTATGTTCATTTTTAAAATTAAGAGGCCATATTTCTTAATCAGAATTACAGACAACATAATTGTGTATGTATGTATGCATGCACATGCATGTACAAGTGTGTGTATCTGTGCATGCATGTGGTTCTTTGGAAAATGAATAAGATGATAATAGAATTGTGGTCTTCTCAATTATGATGCTGTGTAGTCTTCAGGGTAGAAGGTAGAGGAGGTAAGTTCCACCAAAATGGCATTATAACCTGGAAGACAACAGTCCAAATGTTCTGTCATGAAAACCACAAATCTCATATGGAACCAAGTCATATAGTTACATAGTTTTTTATAGGGACTGAATTTGTGTAATAAACAATTCAACAGAGATTTTAAATCTTGTTAAGTGGAGTACATTTCACTAGTAAGCCTATGACTTACATGTTCACAATTCTTAAAGTGGAATTAAATGGGCCAAGATGCCACATGCTTCTTGCAAGGGCCTGCTGTATTTTATTGACTATTTTCTACTGGACAATTACAGTTCTGTTCGAGAGTATAATATTGTCACTATTTGAGGAGGAAAAGTCACAGATGACAGCAAGACAGACTTGTTTGGAAGTATCTGAATGAGAAGTTGTCACTACTCTGTTCCACTAACTTCACACGTTACTCTGTATTGTTATTTACTAATGAGATTTTACCTTAATTTTGTGGCTGTACAGGCCAGAGATTGTGAAACGAGAATCAAGTACATATGGCAGCTCAGTGGCTGGAGGTCAAGGACAGGTATCAGAAGACCCAGAAGAAGGGACAGACGAGCAGCAGAAAGAGGAGAATGTCCCAATGCCTTCTCTGCGAACACTTAAACGTAAGGCAGCATCTTTCTTTCTGCCTTTTGAGGCAGCTGGCTGAATCACAAATTATCAAAAGCCATACATAGGATGAGTAAACACATGATAAAAACCTCTGCACTCTTTGTCATCTGGAGTCTAATTCTGCCGTTAAAAATGCTCTACCAACTCATGCTTGGTACTTTCATAGTAGGACAGCTTTGCCTTTAACTTCTGTATTCCCAATATGGGTATTGTCTTTATGATGTGAGAATGGAGGTTTTTGCACCTGTTTTGGGATTGTGCATAGTTATTAGCTTTCATATTAGCAATGTTGAATCTTCTGATTCATTCTACAGTAACTTCACCTTATACAAGTTTAACAATTTCTTGGGTACAAAGCAACTTTAAATTTTTTTGTGTGTATATCTCATTATTTAGTATTTTGGAAAGCAAACAGAACAGTAAATGTTTGAACTTTTCATAAGCATTTCCAGTATTCTTTATCTGATTTTATCATGCACCTAATCAAATGTGTTGTAATTTTTGCATCAGAACTTATAAATTAAAGTAAATTTTGTGCCACTGTTTTGTTATGGATAATTTTCTGAAATGGTTACTTCTGTTCTTTTGCCAGAACTATCGACCAAGGAGCTGCAGCAACTGGCAATCCAGTTCAAGATTCAGGTTCAAAAAGTAATTGACTTGTTGTGGCTGTTCCTGGAGCTGCATATGCTGAAACTGATGCTACTGTCTACAGTGCTGCTCTGTGTCTTTGATGTAAGTGACACAACAACCCAACAATGGGCCAGGTGGGACCTGGAGAACCTCATAAGAAGATATCTGTAGTTCACAAAATGGTTAAATAACCATCTGTAATCGCACTGACTAAACATAAAAATACCAAAAGAGAAAATAATGCTATTAACCATTTAAAGCTGGATGGCAGCTTATATGTACCATCAGTAGCACTACACTTTGTATTTCTTTGCTTTGTATTATTTTCAGTGTAAACAGCCATTACTTCTTTAAATATCATTAACCAGGTGATATTTATACTGTTAAAATGTTTTTCTTTGTAGCACAGACTAAATTCCTAAATATTATTTACTCTAGCTTCAGTTTCAGAGGGTTAATAATTAACTTAGACATGATACTCTAGTGTTTGTTTGGTGTTCTCAAGGGTTAAAAATATACATTAACCTTTATCACCCATGTGTCACAAAAAAACAACGTGTACATGGTCCAGCTGTCTCTGACACAGTTAAAGTGCTTAAATATTCCTTTATTTTTATTAATTTGTAAGCAGCTATGGCACTTCATCCACTGACTTCTGTTATGCTTTTTGCTATGAGTTGTTTAGAAACGTGCCTTCATATATAAAAGAGCGATTTGTAGTCACATCACACACACACACATCCAGGTCTTGTCAGCTCTGACAAGTGGCACTAAGTTGAGTTATAAGGAATACTGACAAAATACCATAATAAGTCCAGGATGATGGAAAAGTCACACAACCCATATTAAAATACAATGTGATTGAAACTTTTGTTTACAACTGGAAAACAGCATGGTGCAGCAACCTGATTACTATCTGAACTTACTTCACAGAAAATCTCAAATTTTACATGTTCCTGATTGCTGATCATTCTCTTTTTCCATTTATTAACATATAATCAGTATATTTCATACTTGAAAGTTTTGGTAGGTAAATCTGTAACATATTTCTTTGTAACCAGTTTGCAGTTAAATTGTATAGTGTTGTATTAATGTTTTTCCAAAGGTATGTGCAGTAAATTTCATCTTCCTTCTTCTTACTGTGGTGGCACTGCCATTTGGTGGCAAGACGCACACACTTGTGTGTCATGTTGTGTCAGTTCTGGTCTCAGTTTTGCTGCTGATCAAGATGATTTATCAGATCAACTACTTTGTGCATTCAAACTATGCTGTCAACTGTACGGTAAGTTGTAGTTCTAAAATGGGTAATAAAGTAAATATTCTTTTGGTGTCTTTTATGAAAAGAAGTGTAATTGATTTAGTGCCATAATTGTAATGAATGAAGCTTATGCAAAGAAAGATGTAATTATCAACTAAAAAATGAAGGTGGCAGTCTGTTGGAATGTTGCACCATGTAGTCTAGTGGATATTAACTGAAGATTCAGAGGAGCTTGCTGTCTTTCATCACCCTGATGCAATAAGCTCATCTGAAATATCTGCCAGATCATATGGCGTAATATTCCAGAAGACAGCCACCTTTATACTTGTTGCTGTGATATCCTCAAATTTAAACTGAAATATATATCAGAACCCAATTCATTCAAGAAGTACCATATTAAGTTTTCATTCATGAATATAAACACATTATTTTTGTATGACTAAATTATTCATCATTTTATAATATAAATGTCTCCACTGTAATACGTCTTCATTTCATCTGTCTTGGACCATATATTTTGCATTACAGTATAGCTTCTGTCATGCTCTTGATTGCAATATTTTTTCACATTTATTCATTTGGCTCATATTTAAACCATTGTTTACCTAGTAGAGTAGAAAGTGTTAATATCAGATTATCATAGCTGTATCTACTGCAGTAAGATATAAGGTGATGGTACAGTTCTCATATTTATAAGACATGAAGATGTTTAGGGGACATGTATTCTTAATATCTGCACTAGATGAAGGTGAGGGTAGTTGTCTTTAACCCTTGGAAAAATTCCTCTGGTAGCCATTGAATAGAAGGCTGGATTGGCCCCCAAAACTGTCGGGACAGTCGTGATGGCAAAGAGACAATTATATTCCTCTACTGGTAATCGCCCACTTTTTAATCAGCCATGCACAGTAAAATCTAGTGATGTGAATGACTTTTAACCATTTATATTCACCATATCCCAATACTACTTAACCAACAGATTTAAATTCTTCATATGTGCTATTTTTTAGTGCTTTGAACATAGCTGGATATAAATTTGCTTCATTCATTCACAGTAAAATTTTAAATAAGTTTTCTGTTAGATAGAGTCCATTGCAAATAAATTATGTGGAGAATTATTTTTGTGTATTGTGTTTTATTTCAAGAAACTAAATTGGTCAGCTTTTACGGGTTAATTTCAACCCAAGATTCCAGTTCATATGTAATTAAATTAAATTTGATGATGATTTTTTTTCTACAGGAAAATGCTACTACAGGAAATGATGCAGACTGGCTTGGACTGTATAAGGGTAGCACATATCATACTCTTCCAGAAATACTGAAGGGGTATATAGGTAGGTGTTGGAAATCTACTTCTGTAATTACCTATAATGTGCTGTAGGAGAGGGGTAAGGGAATTATGTATCCCATCCTGTAACATGAGATATACTGTACCCAGGCAAAATGATCTGAGTTGTGACTATGAAGGAGATAATGTTTTAAATAGCATATAATTACAAGAACAAATTATGTGACAACCCCAGTATTTATATATAAGATGAATATTTCTAAAATATGTAAATCTGTTACTGTTCTTATTTTTGTGTATGCTATAATAGTTTTATTTTGGTGATATCATATAAACCTCACAGTAAATAAAATAAAAATAGGAGGATACAAACACCTGCTCTCCTTCCATTGAAAACAGATCTCACCTTATCCTTTACCTGATGGCAGAAGCTGACTCTTTCCAACATTTTATGTTCTGCTGCTGATAAACCTGCAATGTAAAGTCTATTTAACTGTAAGTGTGTGTTCTCATTGATCTGTATGATGGCTGTTAAGTGACCCTTCAGTTCATATTGGTTCTGATATCACCATATTTTTGGAACTTCATAGGCATAGGGAAATTATTTGAATTCTTTGCCAAGGGTATTGGGTTTTTGACTAGTTCGATCCACTGGGATCTTCCACAGTGTATTTTCATTCTCAGGATACTACAGTAATTTGGAATGTAATAAACTGTAGGTCCCCTCCTTTGGCCATCATTCTAATCATCATATTGGCACTTGAGAAATCAGAATCTGCAATGCATGTGCTCCCATGTCAGAAATAAGCCTCCTACCTTACTCCAATTTGTGATAACTACATAACTGGCAGTAATTTGCAAAAAGTATGTATTCAGAATGCAGTGTTATTTACATATTAATGTCTCCACTCAACCATAATATAAAGAAAGAATTATAGTAATAATCAAACTTAAATTATTTTGTCATAAATATACAATATTTTTTATCACTATTTTAAGTATTTACTATATGTATATGATAAAGTGCAGTCAGATAAGCTTCAGATTCTGTGTTCTTAACCCATTGATTATGCCAATCAAGAGTTAGTATATCATTTCGTAACTAAGAGTTGTACTTTAGAAACTGATAGTCACTGAGCTAGTCAAGAAGTCCTCTGTCCCTTATGCAACCTGCAGGCTTATCTAATTATTCACAAGAGCCCACCACTTTATCCTTTCCTGAGCTAAATAAATCCACTGCATACCCTTCCATGCAATTTCTGTAAGGTTTATTTAATATTATCCCCTCTCTATGCCTAGGTATTCTCAGTGATTCTTCTCTTCAAGCTTATGACCTGACATTTTTTACACATTTCTCCCTCATGTGTGCTGCATGCATTGCCTATCTCGTCCTCCTTGATATGATCATCCTTTAAATGTTTGGTGGAGAATACAAGATCCAGTTTTTTTCTGTTCCTCTTTGGTCCAGATATTATTCTT